TTTTCCTACTCTCTTCAGTTTAAGCTTGAGTTTTGCTATAAGAAGCTGATGATCAGAGCTGCAATCAGCTCCAGGTCTTGTTTTTGCTGACTGTATAGAGCTTCTCCATCTTGGACAGCAGAGAACATAATCAATCTGATTTCGGTATTGCCCATCTGGTGATGTCCTTGGGTAGAGTCGCCTCTTGTGTTGTTGAAAAAGAGTGTTTGTGATGAACAGCTTGTTCTTTTGACAAAACTCTATTAGCCTTTGCCCTGCTTCGTTTTGAACTCCAAGGCCAAATTTACCTATTGTTCCTTTTATCTCTTGACTGCCTACTTCAGCATTCCAGTCCCCTATAATGACAAGAATATCTTTCTTTGATGTCAGTTCTAGAAGGTGTTGTAAGTCTTTATAGAATGGGTCAGTTTCAGCCTCTTCAGCATTGGTGGTTGGTGTATAAACCTGGATTACTGTGATGTTGAAAGGTCTGCCTTGGATTCATATTGAAATCATTCTATCATTTCTGAGATTGTATCCCAGTATAGCTTTTCCCACTCTTTGGTTGACTATGAGGGCTACTCCATTCCTTCTACGGGATGTTTACCCACAATAGTAGATGTAATAATCGTCTGAATTGAATTCACCCATTCCCGTCCATTTTAGTTCACTGACACCCAGGATGTCAATGTTTATTCTTGCCATCTCCTGTTTGGCCACATCCAGTCTACCAAGGTTCGTAGATTCCAGGTTCCTATGCAGTACATATTTTTCTTTGCAGCATCTGACTTTCCTTTCACTTCCAGGCGCGTCCGGAGCTGAGCATCCTTTTGGCTTTGGCCCAACCACTTCATTAGCTCTGGAGCTACTTGTACTTGTCCTCCACTCTTCCTCCGTAGCATGTTGGACCCCTTCCGACCTGAGGGGCTCATCTTCCAGCATCATATCTTTTAGCCTTTTGTTTCTGTTCATGGGGTTTTCTTGGCAAAGATACTGGAGTGGAATTGCCAGTTCCTGCTCCAGGTGGATGGTGTGTAGTCAGAACTCTCCACTATGACCTGTCCGTCTTGGGTGTCCCTGCACGGCATAGCCCATAGCTTCTCTGAATTACTCAAGCCCCTTCACCATGACAAGGCAGCAATCTGTGAAGGGGGATAATGGACTAATACCTCCTAATTGTGAACTTGCTCATCTTCTCTGTTTAGGTCTGAGATGACATCCTCTGGCATTCACTGGCCTCTGTGGTTTATCCATATACTTTTTTATTGATAATGTTTGCAAGTAAAAATGAGCTCATACGTGTTGCTCAGTCACTCCCACTGGAAAGAGAACATTTTGCCTGTGGAAGCTTATCACAGCTTCCAAACCCAGCATTACCTTGTCTCTCCCCAAACCAAACTAAGAAAATATCCCATGTTTTGTACTTTATTTATCTGGCTTGTTGAAGAAGATACAGGCTAGAATATTAGGTTTTGATGTCATTATAAACTAGTTAAAGAGTGCAAAGTCCGTGTTCTGTTGAGTAGCTCCGGTTTGCTGTGGGAAAGATTGTGTGAACCTACTGATTACTTCCCACAATATCATCCAAGCTACCAAAGGCTCTGAGAGACATAATGTCAGTTTACAATTAGCTGCTCTTGAGAGGACAGGAACACAGAAAGCTATGTTATACTGAATCAAATCTTTGCACCTCCAACCCTTTATTGTCAGAGAAAGCTTCTCCAGAACATCAGAGAAAGTTCTTTCTTTGTCCTGCCTGAAGACATTGGGGTTTAAACCTGATATCTTTTCATGCAAAAACATGTGCTCTCCTACTGATCAAAGGAAGTGACTAGAAAGGTCCTTGACCCACTGTTTATGCTGTGTTTCTCACTGTTCCATTTGATATTTATATATCATCAGTACTGTATTTATATATAATGTTAGCACTTATCAGGAGTAGCTCCAGATTTTTGGCATTAGTCTGTGGTATTATTTCTTTGCCAGGCCTAGCTTGTTTTTGTTGTAGTAGTAATGTTTCCACTTGCACGATTTTGTCTTGCTTTTGGCTTGCGTGATAGCCTACATTGGTCCTTATAGAGCTCCTATTCAGCATGTTCAGATGATACACAGAGAGGGGCATGGTGTGGGAGTAAACAAAACCTGCTTCTTTTTCCTGCTTTCTGCTCACACTGTGGTAGTACTGACTAGAACTACAATACAAGTTATAAAGTATTTTTGGGGAAAAAAATTCTCCTAGCTTTTTCTCCTGGAGAAAAATCTGATATAAAGATGTGGCTATAGCACTAAACTGATTCAGCTCTAATTCAAATGTTTCCCATCTTTTTTTCAGTTCAGCACTATTTCACTTGCTAAATATTCAAAAAAATGAGGAGGAGGGGGAGGAGGAAGATTTGAATGCCTACAAAAAAGGCAGGCAAGATATGATAAAGGTATAGAAGGATGAAAGAGAAGAGGAGCTGTGTGATGTATGGAAACTTAAAACACTAATTCCTGGGATGATTATAGATTTCTGTATGAACCACAGCTGAAATTTAACTGCCAGCATGTGACGTAGAAAAGTTTGCATCAACCTGGCGCAAACTTCAGTGTGGTCACATTCCAAAACCTCTCTAAACTAATGTAGTGGTTTGGAACGCGGGTCTCCAAACTTTCCACCATGAGGGCCACATAATATATTTCCATATTTTTGAAGGGCGAAGGAACGCGTGCGTGTACGCAGTGATGCACTCCCGCCTGCCTGCACCCCCACCCCTGCCTGCATGCCCCGGCCGGATAAAAAGGCAAGGTGGGCCAGGTGTACTTTGAAGAGCCCTGCTCTAGAACTTGGATGAAGCTCTAAATGAACTCAAGGAACTGTGGGAAGGCCAGCAGGGCAATGTTGGTGTTGTTCTCTGACTTTATTACTTTATTTTACGAATGGTATTCTCATTCATCTGCCTGCTGAAATAGGATCACCACAACTACAATAGTTGCCACTCGGTACACCCTAGTCGCACAACAAAGTGTTTCTGTACCAGAAGAGGGCACCATTAGATCAACCAAAATAGCCATCACATTAGGAACGGGTGATACATTTGTTTATTTTTTTACCAGAATGTATCCAATTGAAGTCCTATTAGTGGAAATAGACATTCAAAGAAAATTGTATCTCTTGGTCTTACAACATTGTAGTTCAAGCGTCATTACCCCCTTTGTGTGAACGTAACGTACAATCAGATCCACAAAGAAAGCCTGTATGTTACTTTTCTGTGATCCTCTTCTTCTGAACCCCCCCCCCCAGGATGCCATGATTTAATCCTTTCTGACCTTCTCTCTCCCTCTCTCCTTCTCTGGTATCCTGGAGACAGAAGCTGAATTCTCCTGTCTTTTCTTTCCCATACTCTCTTGTTTTCTGGGTGTGAAAGGAAGAATTAACATCTCTCTCTCTCTTTATATTTGGTTTGGAATATTCCTCATCTTTTCTTTCCTGGATGTGAAAGGCAATTGGAAGGCTGGTTGGTAGAATAATTGCATTCGTTTATCTTGTCTAAAATAACCAACAGAGGAAATGGAAATAAAGTTTAATATTTTTAAAAAATTAGTCTCGTGACTTTTGTTTTCCCTCTTTTCTCTCTCCTGTTTTTGCTGGAGGGCAGCTAGAAGAGATTCTAAGGCAGAACTGGCAGGCAAGGAGTCCCATGGGGTTTAAGTTTCAGTTGTTTATTGTGGCCTCAGGTTTTAGATTTTGTACAGTGGACTCTCGACTTACAGACGGCTCGACTTACAGACTTTTCGAGTTACAGACTTCTCTGGCTGCAAAATTTAGATTCGACTTGCAGCCGGAGAATCGACCTACAGACCAGAAAAAACCCAAAATGGAACAAAAATAGAATAAAAACCGCCGATTATGGGATTAATCGGTTTTCAATGCATTGTAGGTCAATGGAGATTCGACCTACAGACGTTTTGACTTGCCGCCACCATTCCAATACGGATTAATTCCGTAAGTAGAGGGTCCACTATATCTTTCAGAGAGAGAGAGAGGGAGACAGAGGAGAATTCTTCCATTCATACCCAGGAAGAAAATAAGTATGTTTCTCCTATCTTCTCTTAATTGTGCCTCCTGGAACAGCCAGCCTCTGTGTAGACTTGGGCAAGCTGCAGAGTCCCAAGATGCCCCCAGATTCAGAAGAAGGAAATGCTACACTTCTGAGAACTTTCTGCCTAGAAAACCCTGTAAGGGATCACCATGTCAGAACTGGCTTGATGGTGCACAATTATTATTAAATTAAAGGATAACCTGAATCAACATACTGTACCATTTTCTAAAATGAAACCAGTATGACAACATTCACTGTGCATATCCCTAAATAGAACAGGTTGAAACTATTTTTTACCAAGGCATGACTTGGTTTGAGAAGTTTTACTTTAAATGTCATATATCTGATTTTATTTATTGACTGTGTGTGGTGCATGTAATCTGTATTATGAAAATTATTTGTTATCATTTCAGGCTTGTTCTTTCAGAGCCCTTTGAGTTTGAAGTCTGACAAGCCAGTCCTGAAAGACAAATTTATGTTCTCGTCTTTTGTTACAAGGATAAGCAAAACAGTTTTGATCATTCATGCTGTCAAAGTTTGGCTTTTTTTCCCCTTGCCAGATCCCTATATTTTTAATGGATATATTTTGATGTATCCTTGCGCTTTTATGCCTAAAATAACTTTATCAATATACAAATATATCACAAAGCAGTAAAAGACTCTCTTCTTCCATCTTTCTAGGTGTGAAAAATTCCTTGGTAGCCAATGACATGGCTTTCGAAAAAGTGAAGACCCCTTGGAGTCCAGACAATGAAATCTTCCAGATGAAAATGACTAAAAAAGTCTTGGATACCGAGGACAAGGCCAACTTCCACCTTCATGACAAAATGCCAAGATACATATATTTTGAAGCAAATAGCACAAACAAATGGGGCCATAAGCGTGGCTATCGGATCCAATTAATAAGTTTCGCTGGCGACCACCTTCCAGAGATGGATCCCATGGAACGAGCCGTCAGTTGGGCCAGGTAACTGAGGGAGCGACTACACTGGAAAGCTGCTTGAATTGATTTGGCATTCCTATGATTTGATTCACAGCCTGTATTATATTTGAAATCACAGTCAGTGCTCGCCCAGGGGCTGCAGATTGATTCAGGAGTTCACCATTCATGCTGGATGCAATGCGATTCACATTCCAGCCCACAACCCTCCTTCTTTCCTTCCATTATTCCTTTGGTGCTGCCTCTGCTGATCCTTTTCTGAAGGAAAATAATAATAACAAGGATCCAGCGATAAGGTGATAGGGTGACCTAGTATTAATTTTATATATCTAAGATTAAAAAATATATCAGTGGGTGATCAGGGGAGAGGAAAGAATGTGGCAGCATGTTCCTTTGGCCCTGAACATCACACCCCAACCACCTACATCACTAAAACACCATCAACAGACATGCCCCATATCTTTACAACACTGTATCACAACTAACCACATTGGGGAGGAGGAACCCATTCAAATAATTCCAGCTAGAAAAAAGTTGGAGGCCTCATTGGCAGAGGGGAGGGGGAAGCTGCTTTGGGAGCAAAGGGCTGGAGTGATTTGAATCAGCCGTTGCATCAAACTCACCCATTTTATAAGCAGAGTATTTGACCATGTAATCCCAACCTGACTCATGTCTTGGAACATGCCCAAGTTGGCCACATGGCATATTTCAGTTTCAGTCCTCACATGTTAGGGAGTCTCCTACAATAACTACTCTTATTTTCTTTTTGTAGTGTGTGGTTCAATGAGTCTGGTTAGCTAAGCTTCAGGCTCTCTCATGTCCTTCCATGGGGATCTCCTGTATGTCTTTCTCTGCATGCTGTCTGCCAGGCTCCTCTTCAAGAATCTGAAAGTAGTTTTGCAATTCCACTAATGAAGAGTGTAATCTCCTTATAGAATCTGAAAGCAGTTTTGCAATTCCACTAACGAAGAGTGTAATCTCCTTATTTGCTCCTGTGAATCTTTTTCATGATGCTTCCTCCACTTGTTCTATCCTCACCACTCTCCTCCTCCGTTTTGTCTTGCTCTTCTTCCATTTCCAGTGTCTCCTTTGGGTGCTGCTGCTGCTCAAGAGTTCTGTCGATGTAGTCTTCATCTTCTCTTATAGCCTTAGGCCCTGGGCACACGAGTGAAATGTTCTCTAGTTATCCCCCAGTTAGTTTGTTGTGTTTTGTTCCAGTCACACGACTCATCGTCAAGATCAAAACATTTTCCCAGCCAGCAGTATAAGTGGGGAATATTTCCCCCAGCCGGGAGAGGTCCAAAGGGCTTCCTCCAATGTCGGGCAGAAACCTTTGACAGCTCCGAAGCCGCCAATCGTGGCGACAGGGACCCCCAGGGAGGTCTCTTTGTACCAGTTCATTCCTTACCAGGATTGCTTGTATGCACGACTTCAGTATTGAAGCCAGGAAGTTGGCCACCATTTCTGAAGTGCTCATATTTTTTTTTTATTTTTCCCAGCTGATACGTTGCTAAAAGTATGGCACAAGGGGCACCAGTATTGCTGTGCAGATTTCTTTTTTACAGCCTGTGGATAGGCAGCAATTGCTGCCCTTACTGCCAAGCGTGTGCCATAGACGGCGGTCCAGTGTTCATTGTGTGCAAAGCGATTCTGCAGGAGCTAGCAGCACAGCACAAGAAACTTTCCCAAACAGAAACCCCTTCCTGATTTATTTATTTATTTGCAAGATTTTTTTTACTAGTGGTCTCTGAGAGGCGTACAACAATATTAAAACATTAAAAACATAAAAAATAGGCAATATTATAATAATATCCTATATTTAAAACAGTCATTAAAACATTAATATTAATAAATCCTGCTGCTCATATGGCCAGCTAAAGAGTACTATTTAATTAAAATGCTGGCTAAACAGAAAGGTCTTTGCCTGGCGCCGAAAAGCCAAAAGTGTTGGAGCCAGGCGGAACTCTATAGGGAGGGCGTTCCAAAGTTGAGGCGGGAGACAGCTGAGAAGGTTCTATTTCGGCATGCCATCCCACTCACCTCTTAGAAGACGGGCAGGCTCGTATGGAAGAAAGCAGTCCTTTAAGTAACCACTGATGTATCAATAAATATATACTTAATACATATATATATAAATCAAGGGGCTAAATTGCCCCTTGAACCAAGAGAAAAAAATAAACCAGTAGCATGATGTTAGCTGGCCACAACGATTCAAATCGACTTACGAACGGCCCCACATACAAACGTTTTGATTTACGAACGGCTCCGTTCTCAAAGATTGGCATCGACTTGCGAATGGAGCCTCGACCTACGAATGAGGTTGAGGCTCCGTTTGCAGATCAATGCCATTTTTTGCGAACGGAGCCATTCGCCACCTTCAGAGCTCTAAAAGGCTTTCTGCCCGACATGGGAGGAAGCCCCTTGAGAGCTCCGAAGGCAAAAAGGCAGGGAGTAAGGGCTAGAAATTTGAATTTCCTGCCCTTTCCCCCTGCCTTTTTGCCTCTGGAGCTCTCAAAGGCTCCCTCCAATGTCGGGCAGAAACCCTTGGAGAGCTCCGAAGCCTCTGATCGTGGCGGCAGGGACCCTGAGGGAGGTCTCCCGTGGTGGTGGGCAAGCCCTGGGAGACCTCCCTTGGGGGCCCCGCCACCGCGATCGGCACCTTCGGAGCTCGCAAAGGGCTTTTCCTCCCAACATCGGAGGAAGCCCTTTGAAAGCTCCGAAGGCAAAAAGTAAAAATTAAAAAAAAAATTGAGTTTCCAGCCCTTTCTCCCTGCCTTTTTCCCTTTGGAGCTCTCAAAGAGCTTCCTCCGATGTCGGGAGGAAAGCCCTTTGAGAGCTCCGAAGGCGACGAACGGCTCAGTTCACAAAAAATGGCATTAACTTGCGAACGGAGCCTCGACCTCGTTCGTAGGTCAAGGCTCCATTCGCAAGTCGATGCCAATTTTTGTGAATGCAGCCAGTCATAAATCAAAAAGTTCGTATGTAGGGATGTTCATAAGTCGAGGGTTGACTGTAGTAGAGAGTACCACATAGTCTAAAGGCAGCGGGGAAGCTGGGGAATTGAGTGAGGCTTGCTCGCCAGAAAACCATTTTTTATTATTTTTTCTTTTTCAGGGTGGGATTGGGCTGGTGAGGTTGTTTTTTGCAGGCCCAGGGGCTTGCAGTGTTTGGTGCTTTTTTTAAATTATTTTTTTATTCAGCCGGAACAGATTAACGGGGTTTTAATGCATTTCTATGGGAAAACAACTTACGAACTTTTCAAGTTACGAACGCTGTTCCGGAACGGATTAAGTTCATAAGTTGAGGGTTGAATGTAGGTGGAAATAAACTGGTACTGCTAAAAGTTGCTGAGACATTCACCACGGTATATATACCACATGACTGAGAAGCAATACAACAGTGGTATGGAAAGTATCAAAAGAACTAGAGAATACTTATCTCATGTGACTAGGGCCCTAGGTGTGGCCACTCACTGCTCCAGTTCTTGCACTTTTTCTTCCAAGAGTGCTACCAGTTTGCACTTGCTACATGTGTACGCTGTGTTCTTTTGAGCCACAAAGACAAACATTGCACACAATTTGCAAGTTACCATGCCCATAATTTCTGTTACCTTTTTCTTTATTCTTTTTACCATGGGTGCCCTTTCCTTTGTCTTGTCTGCCTTGAAGGCTGCCGGGAAAATCCACTAATATATATACTCTCTGCCTTTATCTCCTTGGTTTCCCCTTTTCTTTGGTCTCTTCCTCTGTTAGACCCTTTTGTTGCTACTTTTCTTTACTACCTCTCCCCCATCAAAGGTTAGCTTCACCTGTTCGCTCACTCTGTCTGCTCACTTCCTGGGGTCCTTTCTCACTTTTATTGCTATGCTGTTCCCTGTTAGGAATCAGTAAAGAGAAAGCATTCACCTTGCACCATAGCCTACCTCTTCCAGTGGGGCCCATCACCCTCCATACAGCAAATTTGGGGGATTGTAGGGCCGGTTGTAGAGAAACAGCAGCAAAATCAACAGATGTTGTTCATTTCCTGCAGACTATGGAGCAAAGTACATTAGATGCTCATGTTACATTCAGAGCCCTTCCAGATGGAGTATTTGTACTGGGCCCCTTTGTTTCCCTTTGTTCTGGAAAAGCACAGGATTTCCATTCACAAATGCTGGGTTAAACTGGCCGAGACTAAGGAACTGTACATCTAACAATGAGATCAAAGATCCTCTGATGCCCTGTTCTGATCTCTATATCCCTCCCCATTTTTATTTGATTAGGAGAAGTACCTTAGCACTAATTTAGCTGGAGTGCTGAAGTGCCAGTTTGCTTTAAAATGTGATGGTTTTAATGCCATGTAGTCTCCTTGACAAATATACAACACAGCTCAAAGCCTGATTTAAAAGTTGTCCCAAGAGGATGCACACACCGATACAAAAACCACATGATTTATTCAATGATTGGTCATTGGAAGGTAAATGTAGGCCTATTTGCAGGACTGGTTTTTTAGGCTCGTACTTCCAAGGAATCACAGTGTGAGAGGGGGGAAATACCCAAACTATTTAAAGGGAGACATATTCTCTTAATATCTATTTTGACTCCATAGGCCTGTCTACACTGGCATATATATATGGTATGTGGATCTCTAGTGGCTCGGTTTGGATGTGGGGGGGGGGGGAGACACAATCCACAAGTGTTTCTACTTGAAACGATCCTTCCTTTCCCTTTAAGAGCTGTTGTGCACTTTCTGTCCCAGTGGCATGAATTCTTTTTGGCACACTCACTCGTTTGGCCAGGAGACAGCAGCCTTTGTATCCAACTGCCATCGTGAGAAAGAAAGTGGAGAGAGAATGAGGGAAGGGAAGCAGAGAGGGAGAAAGGGAGAAAATGGGACAGCAGCAACAAAGGGAGAGAGGAACAATGTAAAAAAAAAATCACTTCCCCTGACTCTCCGCAGATGATCAGGGGAAGTGTTTATTTGACAGATGATCGAGCTACAATGGGACATTGGTTGTTTGGGAAGAGCATACCAAGTGGCACGTTGCTCCTCTCCCAGACCTCAAAAGACTCTTGTTAACCCAACCCACCAAACACTCAAAACAGCCAGTTTGGAAAGGTCTTATGTCAGTTTACTTGGGAATCACTGTTGATCATGAGCCATGTTGATACCAGATCTCATATTCAGGAAAGAGTGGATATATCCAATTTCAGGAATGCATTGTTCCAGCATGGTTTTCTCCATCCTTTTCTTTTCAGGTACAAACTGGCTGTCACAAAACGAAAAGAGAAAGAATCTTTTAGTTCCAGCATTTATAACCAGAATGACCCCTGGACACCTACAGTTGCCTTTGCTGACTTCATAGACAATGAGGATATTGTTGATGAGGTGAGCTATGGTGTTTATGGGATTTATGGGGATTTTATAGTCTGTCAACCTATAGAGGGATTAGGAAAATGGCAACCCAAACTTGGAACTGGATGTTTTCGCCTCTCCTTTTAAATGGGCATTTCTTCATATTATCTTAGCCCTGCTGTAAAAGACTCTTCAAGTCATTTTTATTTTTCCTTCCCCCCCAACCCCACGCCCCTAGTTAAATTCCAAGACTGAAAATAAACATCTTTGGGAGAAACTACCTTTTGGGAGAATTTCAGAGGAGAATCAGTAAGGACAGGAAGGGGGGAGCATGAATCCACATCCCATGCTCCCAGTTGATTCTCCTGAACACATCTCCACTTGCGATTATATAATGTTTACCAGGGCAAATATTTGTTGGAAACAGTCATAAGAAGTTTTCATTACTGTCAAATGGATGAGTTGCAGTAATGTTTGGCTTTTGATGCTGATATATCCAGAACGTCTGCTTTCTTACTGTGAGACAGTGTACAGGTCAAGCAAGCCCAAAGCAGAAACATGTTTGCCTTTGTAGGTGTCCTGCTGTAACTTAATACATCTCTGTAGACATTACCTGTTGCATACCAAATGGCATGAGTCGGTGTGTAATAGGTGATGCCTCAGATATTTCTCACATGTGAAAGCCATGCTGTTTGTGCCACTGCAGAATAGAATATCAGCCAGTGTATCTGTGTACAATAAAATAATAAAGTTTTGAATTCCAGAAGGGGAGGAAGCACCCTCTTCTCTACTTATGAACATTCCATGATTGGTGCATCTTGTATTATTTCCCTCCACACTTTATTTTTCTTTCACAACCTGTGACCTATCCATCGTTCATGTATCAAATTATTTTTGGCAGTTTCCATAGTTCTGATGACTTGTGTTTATTTATGAGAATACTGTATAGGGTGAACAGGCATTACAATAGTGCAGCAAGCAAGCCCTCAGAGTGAGTTGCTATCAATCTCAGTTCAGTTGCCCCAAATTAAAACATGAAAGTTCATGTGCAAGTCAGATGATCTAGATTAGAAAACCCTTTTGCTGGCAGTTGCCACAGCAGGATTCAGCTTGGGTTGTCCTTTATTAGTATGAACGCTAAGCTGTCTTTGAGACATTGTAGTATAGGATATGTTAGAAAACAGAGCATCCCGAGAAAAACATGGAAAAGGTGCTTCCAGAACCTGCTAGCCTCATGTTCAGTGGCTGTGGTAATTTGGGGATTCTGGAAACTGTAGTCCAAAAATTTAACTTTCCAGGGCCTGTTTTTGAGATTTAGTACTGTATAAACCTGAGTCATTGCTACATCTTTTCCTCTTAACAAGGCACACAACTCTATGTTCCTCTTTCAACCAGGATCTGGTTGCCTGGATCACCACTGGCTTCCTGCATATTCCACATGCTGAGGATATCCCCAACACTGTGACGGTTGGGAATTCAGTAGGCTTCTTCTTGAGACCCTACAACTACTTTGATGAGGACCCTTCCATCCATTCTCCTGATGGAGTTTTCTTTACCAGCAAGCAGGACCCCACCTCCTGTGATGTCAACCACATTGCCTGCCTGCCAGAAACAGCTGCCTGCTTGCCCAACTTTCCACCTTTCACTTATGAGGGCTTCCAGGATCTGGCAAGACTCTGATGCCTTCTAGACTTTGGGCAGATGCCAACATTTAGAGTTGAAACGACTCTGCTTCATGTGTAACCAGGGGTGGTTAGCCCTGGCTCTTCTTGTTCAGCCTTCCCCCCTCCCACCTCCCTGGCTTGCTCACATTGTACACATTTTGGAAATTGTCTTTGCAATGTTTGTTTTGCTTTGTGCCAGGCAGATCACTCAGGTCAGCATTATGTTTCACACCAGTCTGCTTCTCCTAAATTGGGAGGGGGTGGCATCATGCAGCATGTGGCTACATAAACAATCAATACTTTTTTGGCTATCTTCTTTCAAAAAAGAATCCCATGGACTGTGGTTTTGTGAGGTTGTTCAGGGATCTCTAACAAAGAATTCTGAACACTATCACCAAATTGCAGTTCCCAGGATTCTTGATTGCTGAGCAGAAGTCATAGCTGTTCAACTGGTATAAGCACAATATATGTTTTTAGTGAGAATACCTTCTTATGTGATTTCTTGCTAAGGATCTAGTATTACCCAGGAATCAAAAGGTGGTGGTGGTGGATGTAGTATTTCAACAGAAGTCAGGGTACGTTCTTTTCCCAGTGTATGAACCTGGCTTCCCTCAAACTTTACAGGTTGTATAACAACAGACGTGGGAAAGATGTACCCACCTGAAAAGTTTGTGGACTGGATTTCCTATGAGTCCAAGGCAGCACAGTCAACGGTAAAGGATCATGGGAATGTAGTCCAGCAACATCCAAAGGATCATGTGTCCCCCTGAGGTAGTCTGTATAAAGAATTTAGGAGCAAGCGCATAGTAAAGTTAACAGCTCTTAATTACTCATTCAAGCCGCATGATTGGCATATTTAGTACTTAAGCTAGAATCATTGGCAATGGATGATGTAATTTTTGCTCAGAGCTGAATACTTATTCGTTGGTTATTTGCAAATGAAATATTATGAGGAGCAACAGTTACAGGGGACCCTCGACTTACAGACAGCTCCACTTACAGACTTTTCGAGTTACAGACTTCTCTGGCCACAAAATTTAGGTTCGACTTGCAGCCTGAGAATTGACCTACAGACCAGAAAAAAAAACCAAAATTGAACAAAAACGGCTGGTTACGGATTAATCAGTTTTCAATGCATTATAGGTCAATGGAGCCTCGACCTACAGACTTTTCGACCTGCAGCCGCTGTTCCAGTACAGATTAATTCTGTAAGTCGAGGATCCACTGTAAGCCCTACTCCAAAAATAAGCTCCAGTTAAGTGAAACCCCGCCCTACACCATTGTGCAGCATTGTGCAGCAACCAGAAGAAGATGACATGACTGTAAAATAAAACATCACCTGAAAATAAGCCCTCATGAGTTTTTTGAAGCAAAAATTAATATAAGACCCTGTCTTATTTTCAGGAAACACAATAGAGGATGCTGACCTGCCCTTCTATGTGTTTAATTGGGCAGTCTGCTCACCTTGAAACAAACAAATGGCCAATCAGTCATCTTTTGTCTTATTTAGTTGTTTTTAATGAACAGGGAGGGGTGGGGACAGTTGGTGATTTGTTGTTGTTCCTCTCGCTTTAATGTCGTTGTACTGGCAATTGGCAGCATCTATAACCAGCTTTTGCTACTACATACTGAACCTTTTCTTGCTTTAGTTTCAACCTGAAAGACAGGCACACAGAGATTTGTTTGTATTTGTAAAAAGGGTGCTTCCACATTGGTCCCACTGCTCAGCTTAGAAAAATGGATATGTTAACCAGAGCATGAAAAAGTAAAACGAAAACAAAAGGGTAGCATCAGAGTTCAAACATCTAAACATTTTAAGTTATTCAAGTATACAAAACCATTAATTCAGTGGTTCCCAAGCTTAGGAGACCAGATCTTGTTCAGCTTCAATTCCCAGAAGCTCTGGGCTGCATGACCCACCATTTGACATTTTTGGAGTCACAGTCAAGACATTTCAGGGAGTCACTTGTCTATGATCACAGGGATAAAACCTGGACATGCTCCAAGTTCATGTCTTCTTCAGACAAACATATCTTATTGGACTGCTTCAACAGAGCATTATATCTCATATTGTTTAATTCTCATGAAGGAATAAACTCAGGTGGGCAAATTCCAGGAGTTCATTAGATCTCCCTCAACCCAACAGGGGATATTCTGCTGCCATCAAAATTCAGCAGCAACTCTGGTGACTTTCTATGGTGCAGGAGGATGCCAGCATGCTTTCTCATGCCCTAATGCAGTGGTTCCAAATCTTGTGTCCCCGGATATTCTTGGACTAAAACTCCCCAAAGCCTTCACCATTAACTGTGCTAGCCTGGATTTCTGGGAGTTGTAGTCCAAGAATATCCGGGGACCCAAGGTTGGGAACTACTGCTATAGAACACTGCTGGTTTGGGAGGGAAAGCATCTCATAAGAACCTAAGAAGAGCCCTGCTGGATCAGGCCAAGGGCCCATCTAGTCTAGCTCCCTGTATCTCACAGTGGCCCCACCAGATGCCTCTAGGAGCACGCGAGACAACTAGACACCTGTCTCCTGAGACCACTCCCCTGCATCTCGCATCTCCTTTCTTTCCATTGCGGAAGAAGAGGAGGGAAAGCTAAGAAGACCACAAAAGGGTGCTGTGTGGCGTCAGCAGTTTTCAACAGTACACCAATGTCATTGGCTACTGCATCTCGCATCTCCTTTCTTTCCATTGCAGAAGAAAATAAAATAAATTAAAATGGCAGCAGATGCAAAAGTTGTTGGACTGCATGTAAGGTTCAGGCTGACTCATGATGCCTGTCCTTCATGTAAAGTGAAGCACAGACAAAAAATAAAATAAAATAAAATGGCAGCAGATGCAAAAATTGTTGGACTGCATGTAAGGTCCAGGCTGACTCATGATGCCTGTCCCTCATGTAAAGTGAAGCACAGGTGTTTTATGTCTTACATTAAAAGTTTTCAGCATCATTATTGAGGCCTCGTTTCCTTTTTTGCTCACCTATTACTTATGTTAGCACAATGTGTCTTTGGGTGGAACCAGAGTCATAACCACAGGGTCAAACATCACCTTAGAGGAAGGAGAAGGTTTGCCTTCTGGTTCATTTCTTGATGAAGCCAAACTACTGACATGCTTGATGAAAAGGGAGAAAAAGAGTAAGGATGAAGGTTTTGTTCTTGACAGGTACTCTGAATTTGAAAAACCAAAGGGATGTTTGCACACTTCATATCCGGCGAAGCTCCCCACCCTTTCTCTCTTTTTAAAGTTTTTGTTGTTGTTGTTGTTGTTGAACAGCTCAATGAACAAACAAAGTAAAAAGCCATACTCTAAGCCTGCTTGGTCCAGAGTATTATGTTGCCAGCTGAGAATAATTTCTTGGGCATTCAAAACCTTGAGAAAGAAGAGTCTTTAAAAATTCCTGCAGGTTGGTCTCTGCACAAATTCAGAACTGTGTGCCTAGAATACATCCGGGTGCCTGACTTTCTCTGCCATTTGTATTCTTCAAGTAACGAGAGGTGTGTCATGATTTTAACAACTGCTCTACCCAGGCAGGTATCCAAGATTGAATTGTATATATTGGACCTGAGAAGAGTAGGCTGCAGTGAAAATATATATGAAGTATATAAGGGGCCCTGACTGTTGAAAAGAAAAACTAGGAAAAATCTAGGTGATGCATAGCTTCACAGTTAAGAGTAATCAGATTTTTGAATGCATCAGAGGACACTGGTCACCGACAATACATTTTCTGTTGGCATGGGGCCAAAACTCCAGAGGCTTAATGACTCTCTGGCCCCAAGAAAAGTTCTTAGAGTCCGGTTGAATGTGAAGCTTGGCAACCAGCACTCTGTTTAAAAGACAAGCCCTGAAAACTAAGGACACTAGTTATACAGAGCCTCTTATCTGACTGCTTCCATTCCTCCTACTTAAATTTAGCAAATTAAGGGACTTAGAGACTTAGACATGGGGAGAAAATGACATGAGAGAGTTCTTAAGGATTATAATACAGTATAGTATATTGGATATGGCTAAACATATATAGATGGCAATATACATTTGGCATGATAACATTTAGAGCAATGACATAGAAATAAATGACCACCATACTTACTGCTGAGCAGCAAAGGTCTGGTCTGTCTCTGTTACATTTATACCCAGAACAACCTATCACATTTCACCATTTCAGCTGGTCTTGGTTAACAATCAAGCATTACATCATCTTGTTACACCTGTATGCTGTTAGTCATTACTTCTACATTCCTGACTCTGCACTTCTATTACAATATTAAAAATTTAACTCCCTGTTCACCAAAAGAACAAAATCCTGACATTTTCTTACCACTGGATGCCCAGACAAGGGAGAATTTCTTGCTGGCAAATCACCCAGCCACACGGGAGAGTATACCAATTCACCTATGAAACCTATGGATTATATAACTGGATCCTTTTAAGGAGAAAAGTGAGATCAAAATATTTTAAATAAAATAAAACAATAATTTGGCACAAATATCTTCCTGCTATGTGCCATCAAGTTCCTCTCAACTTATGGTGACCTGGTGAATGACTGAACTCCAAAGCCTGTGGTTTCCTTTAAGGAGTCAATCCATCTTGCATTAGATCTTCCTCTTTTCCTGCTGCCTTCTACCTTTCCCAGCATGATTGTATTTTCCAGAGACCCCCTGCTTTCTCGTGATGTGCCCAAAGTAGGACAGACTCAGTCTCAACATTTTTTCCTCCAGAAACAATTCAGGTTCAATTTGCTCTAGTACTCACTTGTTCTTTTTCTGGCAGTCCAGGCTATCTGCAAAGCTCTCTTTCAGCATCACATTTCAAAAGACCATTCCCCCCCCCCTCCATGAACTCATACATGATGATTGGAAACATGATGGTGTGAATGATCTTGGCACTTTTATCTTTCACTTTCACTAAATTAATTACTGGCATGTTTTTTTTTAAATGAAAGGTAAGCTTGCACTGAAGCAGGAAAGAAATAATACATAGTAAACAACACACTCACAGACACATACAGTAGACAAACACCAGTATCTGCTTACTTACAATGAAATGGCACTTGAATACTTGGATGTTTCATCATCTCCTTACATAGCACTGGTTGTCACACAGGTTATATTGAAGTAAAAGAATGCTGTTTATAACTTCAGTTGTGAATCTGCTCCTTTCACTTGTCCTCTGGGCGTTCACTGAAGAAAATAATCTCTCAGCATTTGCTCTGTGTCCCAGAATGCAAAATAGAAATGTTGCTGTCCTAAACACAAGTCTGTGGCAGCACTTTGGAAAGTATGTACTGTAATTCACTTGGTCATTAACAAATGTACTTTTGAAATCTTGGCTGACATGAGCGCTTTCAACAAAAATCTTCAGCTTACAGAACTGGTTGAAATATTTTTACATACTCCTTCCCCACAGCTTCACCCCTGAAGTATTTCATGATAGAGCGAACATCATCAAAGGAAAGGATACCAATTAAAGTCACCAAATGAAAGCAGTCAAATTCATTTTAAAAACCTGTCCATTTCAGCAAATATCTCTATGACATGAGCGCTTTCAACAAAAATCTTCAGCTTACAGAACTGGTTGAAATATTTTTACATACTCCTTCCCCACAGCTTCACCCCTGAAGTATTTCATGATAGAGCGAACATCATCAAAGGAAAGGATACCAATTAAAGTCACCAAATGAAAGCAGTCAAATTCATTTTAAAAACCTGTCAATTTCAGCAAATATCTCTAACACATGGTTGTTCTGGGTTTTTCGGGCTCTTTGGCCGTGTTCTGAAGGTTGTTCTTCCTGACGTTTTGCCAGTCTCTGTGGTCGGCATCTTCAGAGGACAGCAACCTGTACTCTGGTATAGTTGGCTTGAGAGTGCAGTATTTATGGCTGTGAGATAGGCTTTTGTCTTTTCATGTAGATGGGTGATTAGTGTGTATTGTTGTGGGTGTATTGTTGTGCTAAGGGGAAGAGATTATCTGTTCCTGTGGGTAATGGGTGTCCTTAGCTGGTCTTTTGTGTGTAGTGATCCCCTGTCCTTGTGGCTGGGTAGAGTTCATTGACCTTTTGCACATAGTATGTTTGATAGCTGGGAGCCAAGTTTTGGTGAGCTTCATACTTTCCTTTTTTTGTTGTTGAAACTTTACTCTTTTTTGTTGAAACAAAAAAAGGAAAACAAAAAAGAGGAAAAGAAAAAAGAAAAAAGAAAAAAGAAGAAACAACAACTCTTGAGATTTTTTAATCTTACCATATACATGGATAAATAATCATTATGAAGCATACTGTGTCTGCACACATTGTCTGAAATCCTGGAGTAAGTCACACCTAAAGAAGGCCCATTGAATCAGTGGAACATATAAAGGAGCTGATTCACCAAATCCCCACTGAGTCAATGGGCCTATTCCAGTTGCAACATACTGCTGGATTTCAACCCTTATGTCTGTCCCATCCTGTATGCAATTGTGAAGAATGTGTGCAGGACAATCAACACTGAGAAATTCTTTAATTCATGCTTTCAAGACATGGAAGGCATTTTCGCTTCCAGGGTGACTGATTCCTGCAAAATTAGTGTTCACTTTGTCACCAGGGAACTGAAGACACGTCATGAAGAGGCCACAATCTTTTACTGCTTGTATTACTGAGTTCTCTGTTGTTTCTAATTTTTCATTTGGCAGTTGCTTCAATTTGGTCTTAATGCCATGAACTAAAAAAACAACGCAGACTTCCCCGGTTCCTATGTTGTTGCCGGTGCAGAGGTCAACCCCACCCTGAGTTTGCAGGCCACATAATGATGGCGGCTGCATGGTTGGGGACAGCAGGAAAGGCCACAAAAGGAGGGCGGCGTCATGGTTGGGGCCAGCAGGAAGTTGTCCGGCCCTCGCCCCCCCCCCCCCCAAACAGGAAGGGTAGTAGAGAGGGCCGGGACTGGCTGGCACACCAGAAGAGGCACGGCTTCTGCACCAGTCTACTGGCAGAATTCAAGAGGAGAAGTTGGGCCCTGCCGAGCTCCAGTTCCTTCCGAGCAGCTCCCCCCACACACCATGCCTGCCCTGGCTGGTTATACTATTTGCATTTTCTTATATAAATTCCTTTGTTGCACTATTAGGTGTTCATTCACTTCTCCTCTATTGTCACAACTCAGTTGGGCAGTGGGATGGATCACAATGGTCATGGGACAGCAGGCAGGAGCCTACAGGTCATCATGGATGATATGGAATCCCTAAATGGGAACTGGCAGCGAGGGGGGGAGGCTCAGCTGTCCCACCTCGGGTGGGACAGTTGCCTCTGCCCCTGGTTGGTGAGGAGACACGGAGTGGCATATGTCCACGTGGCTCCACGAAATCTGCCAGTCCAAGTAGTCTCATAGGAAGGGTCCTGTGGAGATGGTCGGTAATATTGGGTGGCATTCGGGGGGCCCCGATGAGCAATATCCAACCCAATGCTTGCCAGGTTAACTGCTGATGTAATTAATAAAGTTGTGGCCATTTTTACTCCAGTTATGGTGTGTGTGTCTGTTGTTTTGGGGACGGGGCCAGGGTCTCCTTAGAAGTAGGTCAACAATTTTATATCACAGCAAGGAATAGTTTCTGAGATCCATGATTGCTGCCATCTGTAGAAACAGTTAAACAGAACACTTAATTTAAGTCCCGAATTGCCATTGCAACAGAGGGTGGAGCACGGAGGCTACTGTCAATGGCCTCAGCTTTTAGTCTTGTGCAATAAACCTTTTTCACTATACTGTACCTGAATCAGAAAATATCATTTGATTTGATTTTGAAGTGCAATCCGTAGACCTATATTATAAGTGATGGTGCTGTAACTCTGCCGTTTAATGTTGTTTGATACTGGGATGTTTCATGCATGCACGGAATTACCACAGTCACAAAACAGGCTCAGAAGTGAAACGGTAGATTCTTGCTGAGGGAGGGAGTATACAGTAATAAGGTTAAACATCTAGATTTCTGGGAACAAGCAAGGGGGAAATGCAAACATCTACAGAACCAGTCTAGCTGGAAGATTCCTAGTGAACAGGCAGCATCATTCCTTTCTGACCTAGTGAGGGATCAAGTTACAGCACTGAGCAGCCAGAAGCCCCCTTCAAAACCATTATCAAGAAAGGGTCTGTGCTCTTCTGTCTGGTGGTGGGCCTCACATGCTACTTCCCCAGCACCTACTGTTCCTCTATCTCACTCCAAAAAAGGACTTATTAGCCCATCATCCTGGGTCCAGAGCAACCTGCAGTGGGCGGTGGCTGAAGCAAAGGGCCCTATCTGGCTGACAATGAAATCCGTGTTCTGCTGTGAAATAAACATGACCCAAACTTCAGCATACACACAAGGCACCTGCAGGAGTGGACTATTCAGAAGCGAGTTTTTCTGCTCCCTGCCAGAGGCCTGTTACTTTTGAGGTGGATTCCAGTGAATCGCTTCTGCATGTGTGAGTGGCCGCTGCTCAGCGCTCCCCTCCCCTTTCATCTCCCACCACTTTCCTCCCCTTCTGCCCCATCCATCAACCAGCCTCTTCTCCTCAACCCCCCACCAAATCCTTCTTGCTTTCTATTCCCCGCAGTCACCTGCTTCCACCCTCGTCCCTTTTCCCATTTCCACCCCTTTCGTGATTTCATGATTTTTATACCCTCACCAAAGCATCATCAAATTAGAGATCCTATCTGTGCCCACAAACTACCCATCCAAGGCATGCCTGGGACCCCTGTTTTTTGGGGGTGATCCTACATATAAAAACTATGGGAATCCACTGAAGGAGTTTCTCCAGGAATTGGAGCCCAAAAGGAAGGGCGTTTCGTCGTCGTCGTCGTCCTCCTCCTCCTTTGGGTTTCTTACAAAGGAGGAGGAGGAAGACGACGAAACACCCTCTCGCGCCTCCCTTGCTGCAACTCTCCCTCTCTGATCTCTGTGTGCATGTTTGTATGCGCATTTGCGTGTGTACGTATGAACCAAGTTTGCAGGGGGAGGACCGTTGCCCCTTTTCCCATTTGTCCTCCTCCCCCTCGGTGACAGAACCCTCGCCCACTTCAGCCAGCAACAACGAAAGGGAACGTGACTGGCGGGAAGCGGTCATGAGGAGAAACGCCGCCACATCCGCCCCTTGCTGTCTGCACGTCACGCGTGGTCGGGTGGGAGATGCATGGCCAGCGGAGGCGGCGGCGGCGGCGCCTGTGTATGGGGAGCCTCATCCAGGCATCCCTCCCCTTCCCTACCACCTGGGAAAAGTTTATGTAAAAAACAAAAGGAAAATTAAAAAGAGAGCACCCCAGTACAGCCGTGCACGTAGGATGCCTGTGACCAAGCAGTCTCGTATCCCCCCCCCCCAATAAAAGTGGAAGGATGCTGGTGGAAGGGAAATGCCGTGGGGTTGTCATGGATATGGAGGGAAAATTCCAATAATGGAATAATGGAATTTCCCCTCCATATCCAATAATGGAATTTCCCCTCCATATCCATGATCGCAAATTTTAATTTTGAGATCAAAGGGGGAGCTCATATGGATCTTCCCTCCATATCATCTGATCGCAAATTTTAATTTTGAGATCAAAGGGGGAAAACTGGGTAACATATTGTAAGTCTGACCCCACCCAAAGTTAACATGGTGGGGTTAGATTGTATCTAAGGATAGGAGTTTAGATTTTCCAGTGATCTGTAGAATATAATTACTTTGTATAAGGGAGAGCTGGTTCTGGCATGGAGAAATTGACATTAATAATACATGTAATTTCAAGCTTAAGAATGTGCCTTTTAAGAATGTGCTATTTAAATAATGAACTTACTTTTATGTTTCAATTCAAAAACTGCTTGGTTCATACAATTTGGGCTGCAGGTAAGCCTAAGGAAAGGAATGGGCAGTTTAAAGGGGATCAGCCAGGATGGGCTGGTTACACCCTCCCCTTACTCCATTCTCCTCCCTGTCCCCCCATCAGACCCACCAGACAGGAGATGAAGGTGGTGGCAGGGTGTGGATGCACACACCTCCACAAAAGTTTGGGATTCAGGCTAAAGTCCATGTGACTTAAGCATGAATTTAAAAAATATGCTTGCTCTGCCAATTTATTCCTGCAGTGGAAACAGGCGCAAACATGTAGGAGGGAGGGAGGGAGGGAGGGAAGGAAGCCAAGAAAAAAGTCTGCCTTTTTATGGTCCCTTGTATAACCCCCCAAGCATTCCTAGCTTAGCTCCCTCCTCTAAGTCTGAAATACAGCTACAGACTTCCCCTCCCTCTCACCCAGAAAGTTTCCTGTAAGGAAAATAGCAAGTAAGTTTGCAGCTACCGCTGCCATCTTCGAGACACAGACATGAACATGAAAACAGTAGTGATTCTGTTAGTGTTGGCGCTGGCAACAATTTTTGCTTTAGTTTGCGTCTTGCTCACTAAAAAAGAAAAAAGCACTAGTTGTATCCTCTCGGAGCTACAGAATTCCCCCCAGAACATCAAAATTGGGTATCAAAGCCAGGTCTTTGCTGACCTGACAGCAGAGGAGATGGTCCAAGTCGTAAAATACCTCAAGAACAACCTTGGCGTACATCTGGAGGATGCACTTTATGCGAAACCGTCAGACAACTGCATTTACTATCTGGATCTGCACTTCCCTACTAAAGCGGAGATACTGGGCTTCCTCGATCGCGGGATGGATCAGCCCCCTCGGCAGGCGTTGGCCGTGGTGTACTTTGGAGGTCAGCCAGAGCCAAATGTCACAGAATTTGTGGTAGGTCCTCTACCATATCCAACACACCATCGAGACATCACGCTGAGGAAATTTGGCAAGAAGGTGCCATATAACAGCAGACCAGTGACAGAGAGGGAATACAAAGACATTGATGACTTCATTTTCCGGAAGCTTCAGGTTGCCTCTGAATTCCTCAAGGTGTGCTGTGAGTACAACGGCACAAACTTGGCTACTTTGACCACAGCTCCCCGAGGATTTGTGTCTGGCGACAGAATCTCCTGGTTTGTGCTGTTCCAGAATCTGCAGGGTAGTGGGTACTTCACCCACCCTATCGGCTTGGAGGTGCTGGTCAACCACAGCAGTCTGGACATTTCTCAGTGGGCCATAGAGAAAGTGTTCTACAATGGTGTGTATTACCAGGACCCGATGCATCTAGTAACGGAATTCAATGAGGGACGTGTGAAGGAGGTAAGAGTGAAGATGGTCCCGCACCAGAATGACTTTGTTTCTAGGACACCTTCTGGGCCTTCTCCTCATCCAGGCCCTTTCCAGTTCGAACCCCAGGGGATACGTTACAGTGTAACCGACAGTCATGTTGTCTACCAGTCCTGGGCATTTGCCTTTGGGATGAATGTGAACACAGGGCCCCGACTCTTTGATATTAGATTTAATAACGAGAGGATAGTGTATGAGTTAAGTTTGCAGGAAGCCCTTGCTGTTTATGGTTCTAATTGCCCTGGAGGAATGATGGCCAGGTACATGGATGCTAGCTTTGGCATTGGGAGGTTTGCTCATGAACTGGTGCGGGGTGTGGACTGCCCCTACATGGCCACATATGTGGACCGGTACTACTTGATAGATTCTGACACCCCAAAGCTGAACAAGAACTCCTTCTGCATCTTTGAGCATGACATGAGTGTGCCTTTGCGTCGGCATTTCTCTAACTTAGGTTCTTTCTATTATGAGGGGTTACCCAAGTATGCTCTCATCTTAAGGTCCGTTTCCACCCTTATCAACTATGACTATGTCTGGGATTTTGTGTTCTACCAAAATGGTGCTATAGAAGTCAAGGTCCATGCCACAGGGTACATTAGCTCATCATTCTACAGGGATGGAGGTTCTGCATATGGAAACAGAGTGGCGGAACACACGCTTGGAACCTTACACAACCATCTAATAAACTACAAAGTTGACCTGGATGTTGGAGGTAGGTCCCCAAATTTTAATAGCATCTTCAAATGCTACCATCAAAAGTCTCTGAGCTTAAATGAGTTACCTTTTATTTCAAACGGTGCATCTCAGAGTCTCTCAGCTGGTATCCTTGTGTGGCTGGGGAATTCTTTGAGGTCTAGCCCAAAAAACTAACCATTTCCAAACTCTTTTCAATCTGCCATTTTAGCTATGGATTCCCCAGCCATTTCTGATGGGCATGATAGCTAGGGGTGCCATTCCAAACTTACGTTTGCCTCTCAAGGAACTCATATTCTAACTACCTGGTACTATAAATGCTGGGATTTGCATAAATTTCGACATTAAAAAAAACTTTTGGGGTATCTGTGTAGGTTTTGTTACATTGCAGCAAGGCTATGCCAGGGGTTTATGGGCGATGGGCAGAGACTAGAGACAAATTAGCTTTCTCTGGTTAGGATCAGAACTGCACTAAGAAAACATTCCCTAGATGTGGAGAAAAATAGGGGGTTAAATTATGCACCAAACTATTTTGAGAAAAATTATGCATCCCTCCTAATAGTACTTCCAAAATGGTCGTGGTAGCATAATGAGGTTTACTTCAAACATAGTTTGGAAGGAGGAAGATGGGCAGAAGAAGGAGAAGAGCAGGCTGTATCTTTTGCTTAGATTGTAATCGAACCAGTGGAAGACTTTAGAGGCTGTAATGCTTCATATTCTTGCTGGAAAAAGTTATGAAGATTAATACTGAGTGATATTCTTGGTCTGAAGATACTGACTGAGGTCCTAGGGAATTGCTTTCCTGGTGTTTCCAGGGGATTTCAGAGCAAGTGGAACTTGAGGAAGAGAGAGCTTGCTTTTTGTTGTGAGGCGGCTATAAAGCACCTACCTTCACGCACTCCCGGCTGGGGTTGGGTCTCACTTCGCTCAACAGAAAGGTATTTTTATATGTATTGTGCTTCCTTGTACCCCTCCTCCACCTTACCACCTCCATGGCTTCACAAGGGCCTGCCTTTCCTTCTCAGGCTTTGGCCCTGAAGTGTCTAAAAGCAGGATGCTGCTGACTTGGCTACCCAATTCATCTTTTTAGGCCAGGAATTACAGGAGCAGATGATATCATTTGGTGAGGCAGGGGAAGAGAGGCCCAGAACTCTTCAGAGGGTCAGGAATAAGTGCCAGCCCAAATCCTGCCCCTAAATATGCTGCTTCAGCCCCTCTTAGAGGAAAAGCTTCAAGCTGAAGCATTTGAAATCAGAAAAGAGAACTGTATGACCTGAAATGGGGTTGGGGAGGGTTAGTGCTTCTGGACTGCCCTTCCAGAATTGGCAACAGTGGCTGGGCTTTCTGAATTTGGTAGTATTAAAAAAAGCGTATTTTCTAAATTTTGATCAGAAAAGACTGAAAGTCCATAGAAGAATCTTGTCAAACATCTTAATGCAGACAAAACAAATTGAATGCATTTCTAGAATGCCCATGATATTCTGCTGATGTCTCATCTTAGCTGCTTTCACACCGGCCCTCATAGATTGTCACGGTTTGCCACAAGCAGAGATTAGAAGTTAATAAGGTACACTACAGAAGGGGGCCTATCAACCTAAAGCGCTAGCTGTGCAAGTGAGTCAAGCTACATGTTGTTGGCAGGGGAAGTCACAGGGCTTTGCAAACTGAAATTATACAAGATATTTCCCCTTCTCCAAAAGAACATCTGGTATTACTAGTAAAAGAGAGAATGAGCCAAAAACTGTGGGCAAGAGGAAGTAACAGTTTGTAAATACTGGGAGCTGGAAATGCTCCATTCCGCACTGAAGCAGACAATGCTGCAGGAGGGTTCTTTACATGGTCATATAATAAAATTCTTAAAACTGCAGAACTGGAAGGGACTACACAGCAACCCTAGGATCCATAGCGTGTAGTCTTGCAGACTGCGGATCATTGAGTCCAGTGGATCATCGAGTCTAGCCCTTGTCAAAAGAGGCACAGTGGGGAATTAAACTCCCAACCTCTGGCTCCGCAGCCAGAGAACTAAACTACTGAGCTATATGTGTTCTGGATCAGAGTCCACAATAACAGAAAAGAAATTGTTGACAGATTTGGGAACTTCAGGCAGTCCCCATTCCCCCGCCCCACTTCCTGCCTACACCCTACTCTATTGCCTGGCATGTAGAAATAGAGAGCTGCTGCAGATTTTGAGTCAGTCTGTGCAAATGCCGAGAAGCCAATCCTGGGCCAGTAAGATACATGATATCTTGAGGTGGGGGGGGGGGAGAGAGAAGAAGCGGTGGTTCTCCCAATGTTGCTGAACTACAACTCCTCTTATACTTAATCACTGGTTGTCATGCTAGGACCAAGGAGATCTGGAACACCACACATTGCTCAGTTAATAATAATAATAACTGTGTCCCATCAAGTTAATGACTCCTTCCACAGGTTTCTATTTACACAATACAGTACTCTAAATTGATCTACCATTCCCTTCTTCTGAGAGATTGATTAGGGATGGTGCAGCTTGCCCAAGGCTACACAGGATTTTGTTTTAGTTTATTTTTGTTGGATGCAGGGCTTAGGGAGAGGTTCCCTTAGCCACCCTAAAAATCAGCACCACCCTTGAAGGCATCCAGGGTGGAAAACCCACTTTCTGAAAAACATGTTTTTAATACCTGGATATTTTTTTCTTCTACTGCGGTTTCTAGGATGGTTGAGACAGGCGGGTGTCACAAAACTGCCTTTGGAATACATGTGGCACATGGACTGTACTTTGCCTGCCTCTGATCTGTATGTAAGAGAAAAAAAGAATTATAGGAGTCTTAATCTGAGAGTTATAGTCCAAGAACATCTGGGGACCCAAGGTTGGGAACCACTGTCCTTATGGATAAGCTGTTTCTGGAGGAATATCCACCTTCTTCTCCCTTCCTCTTTGAGCCTCTCATGCAGGCCAAGCACATTAACTGCAGGCTGAGTGACACTCTCTCAGTGCCAACAAATATAAGTTGAGCATTCTGTCTAAAGGCCCAAACTGGTGTTGACATCCATCTCAGAGAGTTTAAAGATCATCTTACCTTGATGAGGCCAGGACTGAAAACTTTTCTTTCACCCTTTGCTCTTCTCCCACCCTCCCCCAGGAATCAAGAACTCCTTAGTGGCTGTCGACATGGTATTTGAATCGTTCCCGGCCCCTTGGAACTCGGAGCACCAGATTGATCAGCCAAAGCTCACAAAGCAAATCGTGGACAAGGAAGAAAAAGCTGCCTTCCCACTCAACGGCAGAGTCCCTCGTTATCTGTACTTTGCCACCAACCGGGAGAACCATTGGGGTCACAGGCGTGGCTACCGCATCCAGATTAACAGCTTCGCAGGGGACCACTTGCCTGAAACGAATACCATGGAGAAATCAGTCAGCTGGGGCAGGTAGGTTTCTAGCCCGCTCTTAGGTATGCCCTTTTGGGTAGATGTCCCTGTACTAGAAATTCAAGGCTAATCCCTGAAGAAAGGGGGAGGCAATAGATCAGGGGCAGGGTACTTGAGGTCCTAGGGCCAAGTCTGTCTGTCCTGGAGTCCCAATCCAGCCATCTCTTCATGCCCCTTTCTTATCATGACACATAAATCACTTTCCAGTTTTTACGTGTTTCCCCTCCTTTTCCATCAATTTCAGTGTTTCCTATGGCTCAGGACTCATCCAACCTTTGGTGCTGTTCCTTTTCATTTTGAGGTTCCTCTGGGTTGTTCTGGTATTTCAATATTTTGTCATCATTGCGGAATGTAATAAATAACCCCAGCATTTACATGTAGGAAAGGTATTTTTTGCTATAAGTACTGGAATGCACTGGGTATCCCAGTCCGCCTGTCCATATATATCTGGAGCTGCTCTCTCAGGTCTTATTCCCGACACAGACCAGCATTTACATGTAGGAAAGGTATTTTTGCTATAAGTACTGGGATGCACTGGGTATCCCAGTCCACCTGTCCATACATATCTGGAGCTGCTCTCTCAGGTCTCATTCCCAACACAGGTTACTGTTCCTATTTGCCTTTTCTCTGCCAAATTCACTTCATCTTCCCTTCCTTGTTTTACCTGCTCACCATTGGCAAAACTTCATGTTTTATCCTCAGTCCTTTCTAGTTTTAATTTAAAAAATATTTATATTTGTACCATGGTGCAAAAGAGATACTGTAACATCTTTTAAAAATTAAAAAAACAGAACACAGGAACAGCTGATAGCCTGAAGAAACTAAACAGGAGTGGCAGCAAGGCATGGAGTGGTGGAGAATGATCAGCAGAAAAAATGTAATTGAGATCAAAATGGCACACCTCTACAAAGGTGCAAGGATAAGTATGCCTTAATGTAGGACTGGAGTCCACATAAGCAGATCCTGCACTTGAGCAAAGCAGAAAAAAATACGCCGCCACCCAGCAGTCATGTAAAACAACCTGGAAAGTAGGGGTGTGTGTGTCCTGCTTTGACTCTGTTGATGTTAGTGTCAGCCTTACATTGTGCAGATACTGGGATGCATTGCCAGTATCATGGGTGTAAGAAAAGTTGAATAAATGGCTTCTGTCCTCAGTTACCGACAGTAAGAACTTTAAGCTGAACAATGGTGGTAGTTTTGGCCTCATCCTTTCTCCTTTGACTCTGCCTAGTGCTGGAACATGGCCTTCAAAAGGTTTTCTGAAATTGGGTTCAGGAGCCTGAGAGTGGGAAGATTCACTCCACTTTCTAGATAGTTAGATCTAAAACAGATGGCTCCACCAGTGCAAAAAAAATATCTACAGACATTTTCCGTTGCTTAGTAATATAAAAACCCTGCTTTATTTTTCACTCATCTATCTCCTGCTACCTAGGTACAAGCTGGCCGTCACCAAACGTAAAGAGGAGGAGATGCACAGCACCTGTATTTATAATCAGAATGACCCTTGGAGTCCACTGGTGACCTTTGCTGACTTCATAGACAATGAAACCATCGTCAGTGAGGTGAGTATTGTGAAATCTTTTTGACACTGTTTACATAGTAGAGAAAGAGTAAATGAGGGAAAAAAACATATGTGGCTACGATGCTGGTCCACAGATCAGGTAGCCCAACTAAGAAAGCTGGACAGGAAATTGAGTTTTGAAATGACTAGCTATTCAGAAGCCAAGCAGAGGACAAGATGGCTAACTCTCCTCAGTCCCAAGAGTGGGAGATGGCGATTACAAAAGGGAAACAGTGATCATCTAGATAGTGGTTCCCAACCTGGGTCTGCAGATGTTCTTGGACTACAACTCCCAGAAATCTTGGCCGGCACATCTAGTGGTGAAGGCGCCTGGAAGTTTTAGCCCGAGAACATCTGGGGACCCAAGGGTTAGAAACCTGCTGGGTTAGAAACAAAGGGACCTGCTGGGTTAGAAACAAAGATTTTTCTGTAACTGATCCTGACAGAGTTTGGAAGGACACCTACAACTCTTGTAAGACTTAGTATAGCTGATGATGCAAAATTATGGGAATGTCAATCCAAAAAACATCTGGAGGACTGTAGTTCCCCACCCTTGGGCTACAGCATCATTGCCCAGGAACTAGTCGTTAATTAGTAAATACTGACACGTGAGAGTTTTGTTTTTCTTTCTTCTGTTGCTCTTCTCTTTTCTTCTTCCTATAGGATCTGGTGGCTTGGATCTCAACTGGTTTTTTGCATGTCCCACATGCTGAAGACATCCCTACCACTGTGACCATAGGCAATGAAGTGGGCTTCCTACTTAGGCCTTACAACTACTTTGATGGGGATCCCTCATCCAGCTCCCCTAATGGTGTCTACTTAACACCTACACATGATGCCAGTAAATGTGAAAACAACCACATGGCCTGTCTGCAAAAGGCAGCCTCATGTTCCCCCAGCCTACCTACTTTCACTTACAGCGGCTTCGAGAACTTGACAGGTCCTTAACTAGAAGGAATATTCTGCACTTGGTCCCAATCCTTGGCTTTTCAAGATATGCCCCAGCTTTAGCTGAATGACAACTATTCTGCAGTACATGCCCTTTCTGTCTGTGCCCTTACCTGTGGCTGCCTCATCAATGCAATCTTGTTTATACCTGGGGAGATTTTTCTGGCTTTAATGGGACACTTCATCCAACTGTTCTTTGTATATTGTGTGTACAATAAAGTCACTGTGTGTTGCCTCTGTTAGCAAGTTATAGGCTGATTTGCTAAATGGTGCAGTATGTACAGTGGTTACTCCCTGTTTGAAAAGTATTTGTAATGGGGATGACGGTGTGATTACACTATAAAATGAATTGGGAGGTGGAAAATGAATTGGGAGGTGGATCAGGTTTTGGAAGTTTGAAGTTACATGATAGTCTTGTGGGTTTTTGCATCAGTATATGCGTCCTCTTGGGAAAACTTTTAATCTGTTTTTAAGCTGTGTTGTACATTGGCAGAGGGGGCTGCACAGATTTTTAGAAATGTTGCATTTGAGGTTTTGTCTTGCACCTGCCCACCATCATGCTAGCTACCTCTCACAGCCACTAGTCGCTGCTGTTGTGGTGTTATTTTTAATTTTTAATTTTTTAATTTTGTTTCTTGTGGTCTAGCATAGCACTAGTCTAGTACGGCAGATAGAAAAATTTAAAATAGATCAGACTGCAAGCTTTCCCTTCAGCCACATATATACATACATACATACATACATACATACATACATACATAC